AGATCCTCCTGAAGGCTCTGCTATGGCACGTCTGTGTCCTCTATAACAAAAATACTACCTATTGTTATAATTTATACTGTGGTATAAAATACCCAGATCTTTTTAGGATCAAGCCACTCTTACACTATACAAACCTGCACATAATCTGTGCTCTTACATAGCTCACATTAAGCTGAAGTGTCAAGTGATATACAAGGGGAGGCAAGTAAATTCAAGTATTTACTAGTCTGGAGGGTATATTACCTCCTGTTTTATCATGAGCAAGAAAGAAAACTCACCTATCTGATTTATATTTCCAGGGAGACCTTCTAGTGGCCTTCCAGTACTTAAAGGAGGCCTGCAGGAAAGGTGGGGAGGGACTCTTTATCAGGGAGTGTAGTGACAGGACGAGGGGTAATGGTTTCATACTGAAAGAGGGGAGATTTAGATTAGATCTTAGGAAGAAATTCTTTCCTGTGAGCGCCGTGAGGCACCAGATCAGGTTGCCCAGAGAAGCTGTGGCTGCCCAGTCCCTGAAAGTGTTCAAGGCCAGGTTGGATGGGGCTTTGAGCAACCTGGTCTAGTGGGAGGTGTCCCTGCCATGACAGGGGTGATGGAACTAGATGATCTTTGAGGTCCCTTCCAACCCAAACCATTCTGTGACTCTATGATGATTCTATGACAGCCTCCTGTTATGCAACAAGCCCACCTGAAATAAACAGGTCCTACTAGGGACAAGCAAATTAAGAATGAACTCCCATCCCACCCTCTGCAATTAACTTTGCTAGTAGTCATAATTCAAAGTTTTCTACCTTCTTTGGCTGTGATCATCAATTTAGTATTCCAGAGCCCTCTAGGAAGACTCATTTCAGAAGCTTGGGGATTCTGTGCAAAAGCCCACATTCCCGTTTTTCCGTCCTGTGTACACAACTTACTTCCTTTAGTGTATTACGAACGAATTCTTTTACTTGTGAAAGAGCTATGGACACTTCTAAACAAGTCTCGATCAGTTCCTCAAGCTACCCCTGTCATTTCTGTACTTTTGATTTGGAACAGGCCTTTTTTAATTTCACAAATACAAACTTACTGTATTGGGTGGCAATCATGCATAATGTCAATAATGGTTGGCTACCAAGGATTTTTCCAGTTGGCTGGTTTTCTCAATAAAAAAATTTTACTAAGTTTTTAAACATTTTATTGTGACTATTTGAATTCATAAATTTTTACTTCTGAGTAACACTGAAACACTTTGCTTCAGAATACCTTTGTTTTGAACAAAGGCTGCTTATATAAAATTAAACTTGAAATAGAGACATTTTGACCAAAGCTTGTTTTTATGTTATTGAGAATCTTAAGTTTAAGGATTCTATATTATGAAGATTCCATGTTTGCTGGAAAACCCCTAGTCACAAAACTTTGCCCAGATACACCTGTACATTTATGAACTGCCTCATACAGGTAAAGAGGAGCCACAATGAAGCAGCTTTCATCTGTATCTGTAAAAAAATGAAAGGAAGCCAGCTATCGGTGAGTAACAAGTTTAGCCTATCAATGCAGAAGCTCAGTATAAAAGTCCCATTTAAGTTCACCGTCACCTTATACAATGTGTTAGAGGTTGAAAGACCAGCCCTCGCTGACACCAGTTACTAGTATCCATTTTTCACACATTGGGTAAGCTGCTCTCCTCTCTACGGACTAGTTTTCAGACACAGCAGCAGATGGTTTCATGGTTATTTGCTAGATAAACAAGCCCTGCGGCAAGTAAAAAGCCTTAGGTTCATTTCCAGGTTCTGGAGAGCACTATCTTAGAAGCCCACCTCTGGTTACCACAGAGCTGAACACTTCCCACCTCATCCTCAACGTTTCAGCAGTATTGGATGAACGGCACAGAGAACAGAAGCAGATCCCCATTCTGTGTTCAGGTAGGAATCCAGAGAACTTTCCTACTGAATGACAGCCACGCAAACAGAAGAAGAAAAATACAGTCACGAGAGTCAGACTAAGTAATTCTGTTGCTGTTTGTCAGTAGGGCTGCAGTTAACTATAGATACCCACCTCTTCAAGGAAGCAACAGCAACCTCTTTTCCCCCCTCAAAATTAAATTCATGTCTCTGCTTCAAGGCAAAGAAGCCAAGTAGTTTAAAGTCCACAGGACAACATATTTTTAAAAATTACAAACAAAACTTTAGTCAAATAGTTAATTTCATACAGTTGCAAGCAATTTAAGTATGTCCTTAACATTTTAACATCAGTGGTTCTTCCAGGTAGAGTCAGGATAGTACTGATCCATTAGCCACAAAAAGGGCTCTTCTTCACAGTAAAAGACCAGCCTGCAGTTTTTCAAGAAAAAAAATGGAAGTTATATGATCTGAGCAAACCTTCATAGAGTAATATTAACAAAGATTTTTACCTCAAAAGAAATACAGATGAAATGGAGTTCCATTCAGGAGCCTTTAATTTTTTTTTTTTTTTAAAACAGGCTTAAAATACGCAAATGAAGAAAAAGTACGTGGATATTATAAATAACATAAATCAGATAAGCTTACACACTAACACTACAAACACTCCAGTGGGGAAAGAATGTAGTACTAACAGCAACTATAAGCAATCATCAAGCAATCAAACTTGCCTAATTCTAGGCAAAAATATTCATCCATCAAGAGTACGATTGCAACGGACAACAAGATTCTAGTCAGGCACAACTTGCCCTATTGTTAGGGTTCCTTTTCAGAAGGGAGACCATCTTTTCAACTATGTGCACAAGAGGTTCCTCATCCCGCTAACAGTTAAAAATAAATACTTTATGTTTGTGTACAGTGCTCTTCAACAGAGTCCTCCACAACACTAACAAATTCTTAGAAAACATTTCTGCGAGGTAGGTATATCATCATCCCCGTTTTACAAATGGAAAAGAGATTTGCCCAGAGTCTCACATACATTTAGTATCAGAGCCAGGAACTCGTTCCCTGACTCTGTACCAAACCTTTTCCACTAGGCAATGCTCCTTTTTAGGTTATACTATTGCATTCAAGAAAGTTATTTTAAGACAACATATATGTTTGATATTAGAATATAGCATTTTGTACTTAACCAAGAATACAGTATAGCTCATCTTTGAGGTACCATTCCTCTCCCCTCCCCAACTCTTTTACCTGGAGATAACCAAAATAATTATGGGCTAATGAAAAGAAGTTTTTAAAAATATGCACTGCAGGAGCAGCTATGCAAGTGACTTGAACTATCATGTTTCTGTTCACAAGAACATTTGTGTTTTTCCTTTAGTGCCAACTTACATTAGGCACTAGGACCATGCAAACTGTGTTATCTTAAGACGGTAAGCAGTTGCACGTCTTCAGTTTTGCAGTTTAGTGTCAGTAACTCCAGTCAACTTCAGTAATTACTACAGATACCTTTCCCAAGCTTAGCATAATGGTGATCTAAATCCACTTCCCCCTACAAACGCTTAAAACACTTTTGGAGCTACACGTTCAGCTCCCACATCCACTAAGTGAGAGTCTTGATTAAGACAAACACATGTGATTTCAGGTTTTAACAAATTTCCATTTTCAAGTTTTATAATGAAGTGACTAACTCCTGTATTGGGACTGACAGAAGACAACTGAGACTTTGTTAAATTTGTTGGTAAAGTACAGTTGAGATCCGAAACAAAATAACCAATCCAGTTCCTCATGTAGGCTCCATGGCTCACTACTAATATATTGGCATCTAGCATTTTATAAGCTCCACTGTTCCCAGAGCCAAGTTCTGCTTCACTGCAGTGGTTTGTCCAAGGGAAAACTAACTGTTCTTCAGACGTCCCTGAGCTTCTGCTTGCTGCACCATACACATCTTGCTCTTTCTGTTCCAATTCAACAGCTAGCTGACACAGGAATTCAAAAAAATCCCTTGCACGTTCTCTTACCTAAAGAGAAAAGTCAGAAGAGTACATTGTAAAGAATGCAAGAGACTTCGGCTTTCAGTAATCTGCGATGTAACTAATTCAGTTAAAAGACAAACATTTATCACCAACAAGCCTCAGAAATCAATGGTAAGTTATTGAATGCTGTAAAAACTCCTCCACCCTCCAAAGCTAAGGCTGAGAGTAATTGCCATCATCCTTCTGCAAACAAGAGCTTCATGAGGAGTCAAGCTCAAAATCAGTATATTATTCTAAAGAGATTCCCTACCTGGCAGCCACTGTAATCAGGTCAAGTAGTGTTTTTAGCTTTGAAAATAACTACCTTTGGTTGAGCTAAGCTTTCAGTAAGACGTTCCTAAGTACGCAATAACTGCACCTGCACTGATAAAACGGCCTAGAAAGTAGGGCACAAATAAATAAATACCATACTTCATCCAGTGTTTCTCCTCCAGAAGGCGTGAATGAAGGACATTGCTCTCCAGCAGCCTTTGCCATAGCCTTGAGGTCAGTCAAAGGCCTTCCTTCTGCAACACCGTACTTCTGTAAGAGGCACGTTACAAAGAGCGGGGTTTAGCAAGATACATCAAGTCTCCAGTACCACTTCCACTGCAAACATCTCTTAACAGCTTTGTAACATGCAGGCTAACTAACTTTTACATTACTACTTTTACATTACCTTTTACATGACTAGAAGTCACATTATAAAATATAATATTCTTCATCTGTAACGTATTTTACAAGACAGATACACTTGGATGTGCATTACCATTTTTGACCATGAAGATCTTTCCAAGGGACATCTCTAACAATGGCAAAACAGATTAATACTTCCCCTCTGAAGATTATTATCTCACTCACTAACAGATGAAAAATTTGTTCAAATGGAAAGTTTTGGTCTTTCCTGTAATGTCTGAAGACAGTAAAAAAGCTGCAGTTATGATGAGTATTTTGAGAAAGCAAGAGCTGATACTATACTGTCACTCAGTGACGTGCATTCCAGAAATCCAGATGTCAATGACTGGGATACAGACACGTACTCGTTACTGAGGCTTTTTTAATTTCTATGTCACTATCCACTTGCTGTGGATACGCAATTAGCTGCCATAATGACCAATTTATTACAGTCTTCAGAATTTAAAAGCACTGAAACACATTTACTTCAGCCTCTTAATCCCTTTCTCTAAAGCAAAATACTGGCAATTGAAGAACACTAAGAAAGACGTGAAGAAATAAGTGCTCTGAAACAGCTGAAAATTAAATTCTAATCTTAAAGATTTTGCTAGACTTCTCTCATGAAACCAAGGCATGAGAGAATAAAACTTTCTTAATAGGGTCAACGACAACTTTGTTTCTTTTCATGCAATTCAAACTTAATTCCAGTTACCCAGAGTAGTGACTTACAACCTGTGGCCCGCAGACATTGTATTGGCATTTCTATACATCCATACAAACACCATGAAAGGGGAAAAAAAGTTTAACAGAGACAAGATTATTCTTTCTAAAATACTGTATCATGAACCATAATATTTTTGAAAATGTCAGGTGGTAAAGAAACCAAAGAAGTTTGGGAGGCATTCAACTTGCTGATTTCAGGGGAAGAACTGGATTTTCTGACAGAAAAAAGAAGATCCAAATAGGAAATGCTAGAATTGAGTTCTGCTCCTTCAACACTTACTGGCCTGCTGGCAATACGCCATCCCACTTTTTTGGTTTTTCCTTATTTAAAATTCAGCTGACACTCTCAGCGTAGCACCTGAAGGGTGATTCATATTAACAGAAACAGCCAGCATCTCAGTTTTCTGATCAAGATGCACTTGAAAATAGACAGGAGGTACAACTATGCCTGTTCCAGGCAGAGAGGCTGATCAGGAAAGCAGATTGTTCCATGGGAAGCAGAAAGCTTTTCAGTAGTCTTTGTGCAAAAGAAAAGGTACAAACAGCTAAAAAGGCAACACTGAGTTGTGCCATCAGGCTGGAGAAGGTAGGCAGAGGGAGTACCTTTAACACTTTACACATGGGGTTGGAAAACAGAGCTAAGCTTTTTACCACATTTACGGTAATTTCCTCTACTGTAAATCTTACCTTACTTAAATCATGAAAGCATCACAGTTACACCACTAATCACTACATTTTGGCTTTGCTTCACAATTCTGCAAACAATTTATAGCACCTGATGTGAAGAGTTCAGTTTCCAGTGACACATCCAGCAGTGCTCCCCACTGTTGAATCTACCACGATTTCTATCAGCAGTAAGTTACATTTTCAAATTGTTCAATGTTCAATATTAAAACAAACTCTTTCGGCACTTACTCTCTCTCGAAGTCTTGCATCATACTTGATTTCCAAATCTTTGCAAAACTTATTTTTTCCTAGAATTGTGGCAGCAGTCTAAAAAGTGAATATACAGTCACATCAATGAGCTGTTTTCTCATGGGATAGCTAGACCATCTTACACCACCACAATCAGTGAAAATCACATTAGTAGTACCCAAACAAACAAGATAGAAAGTTCTTCAGCTAGTAGTGTCTGTCAGCATTGGATACATGCCCTGTGTCATATATATTATATATGACAATAATATCTAATTATCCAAAAGACAGAAAAGCCACAATCTTCTGAAAGTTCTTTCACAATCCAAAGTCCAGAACAGTTGAAGACACTTAAGCACCCATGAAAGGTGGGCAGCAAGACGCATGGCAGCAGCAGGATTTGCTGGGATAAACCCCACATCTTTTCTTGAATACACTGCCACTCACAAAGCAATCATGCCAACACATTCTCTACATGTAGTATGTGAATCAGACTCACAACAAGCAGTACGTTCCTCAAAACTGATCAGTTAATCCAACTGCGAAAAACACAGCATCTAACAAATGAAACTACCTTCTGACAAGTGGCTACTTAATGCACCTCAGAAACCAAATACTCTTGAAGCAGTTAAGGTGTTTGCTGGCAACGTACTGAAGTGTCAGACCCAATGTTAGGAGAGAGAAATATACTGGATGATATCCTTGAGGAAAAAACCCCATAATCTAGCTTATTATATTCACCTGCCTCCTGATAGCATGGCCAAGAGACAGAGAAAACCCAAAGGGCTTAGTTTGCTTTTTAACAATAGTCTGCATGTCTTGAGTTTTGTGATATTTATCTTTTTTTTTTCTTCCAAGGAAGCATGTATTTTTCAGGAGTGCAGGGAGGGCAAGATAACTGATCAAGAGGAAATTCTGATACCACTTTGGAGAAAGTATTAGCTAATACAGCCTCTAGTGTGTTGGACATTATACAGCTGTCTGGCTGCCACAGCCAATAATGGGAACTAAAGGACAGCTAACCTGCTCCTGTTCTCGCATGCACCAAAGCGTGAAGGCTATACTGGATTTGCATACAGTTGTGACTGGTAATACTGGCTGGAAGTCTCGTGCAAATTTCCACAGCCAGTCCAACTGACATTCGAAGAACTCAATTTGAAAAGGCTCCTTGGATTCTAGCAAATAACAAGCAGCTTTGTTGTATTAACAAGATTTTATGACCTATTTAATGTATGGCTTAGGAAAGGCTTTATGTTGCAACTTTAAATATCTGTCATAGAATAATGTCAAAATTCAGATAGGGCTGAATCAGTTTCCTTGTATATACGAACAGCATAGTTAATCGAATGATTACATCCTGAAATTTCTCCAGGACCAAGATCTTTTTCAGTAAAAAGAATAGACAACATTCACCTACTGAGAACTAGTTCATACTCCGAACTGTAAATATTAAACATGACACCTCACTTACTATGCTGAAACCAAAATATGCTCTG